CCCACTTCCTTTTCCATGGACTTTCCCCCTGATCCCCCCCCCCGATGTTTTCCCTGGCCACTCCAGCCACCTGGCCAGACTTCCCTGCCTCATCAACTGCACCATACAGTTCTTCCCCTTTATCAGCAGTACCCCGCATCCCCCAAATTTACCCTCCCCCACTCCCTCCTTTCATTGTCAAGAAACCACTTTAGGATAAGCAACCAGAAATAGCACCCAAAGGCAGTGTTCCCTCTAAGCTGAGTTAGTATGAGTTAGCTCACAAATTTTTAGCCTCCAGCTCACAGATTTTTGTCTTCACTCAGGAAGGAGGGCTCCAGAGCAAACTAATTTATGCAATAGCCAAACTGCTCGCTCACAACTTTAAAGCCAGTAGCTCACAAAGTAGAATTTTTGCTCACAAGACTCCACAGCTTAGAGGGAACATTGCCCAAAGGTGGGGAGGGTGCCACAGTTATACATACATATTTTATTATTAATAAAAACTGTAAATACATAAATATATAGTAAACTTATTCTCCTTCTAAAACTAGAACTCAGGAGCACACAGGTGAGTTGATGGGCAGCAGATTAAAAAATACAAAAGCACTAGTTAATGCATAACTTACATAAATAATCCATTGCCCAAAACTGTAATGATAGCTGCTAAATTAAGGCTGCAATCCTAAGAACATGTACGCAAGAGTAGGCGCCATTAAATAAAACAGGACTTAATTCTCTGCAAACATGCATAGGATTGCACTGTAAGTGACTTTAAAATTACATTAAACAAATAAAGGTACATCTATGTTTATGACCCAAGATGGTTAAATGGAACTTCCATGTTCAGAGTCAGCATATTTCTGAATATCCATTATGGGGTGGCAATAACAGGTTTGGCTTCTTCTTGCAGGCCTTCTACAGGCATCCAGTTGGCCACTATATGAAACAGGATTCTGGCACAGACTAATTTTGGTCTCATCCAATGGAAATCTTCTTGTATTGTTATGAATTTGAACTTGAGTGTCTTCTGTTTTATTTTATTTTTACAAAAAGAGGGGGTTTTGGACCGCTTTAGGAAACCCCTCACCTTCCATCTATCTCTATTTTTTTTAATTATTGTCATACAGTCCTATTTTTTAATTCTTCTCTCCCTTGCTTCAGAAAAGCAGCTGTTAACATATCAACTAAATTACAAAAGCAGCTGAATGACTAACTTTATAAAGGTCATAGTCCAAAGCTCACAAAGGTTTTGCAGCCTAATATGTACAATACGGAAGCACAAGTAAATTTGTGTACCAGCTCATTAAATCAGGTTAGAAGTAAACTGGGTTTCAGAAACTTAACTAACTAAACTGCTTCACAGACAACAAAAAACCACTGGTCACAATTGACCTTTAAAAATGCTTCCTGTATTCCCCTCACCTGGTTTTTTGCCACTAAAAATAGTGTGTGGGGGGGTGGAGGTAACTGCGAGAAAGAAACTGAAGCTCCTTCTCCCTCCTCACAGAGCCAAGTGAACAAGCACTTTTTAAGGGAATTCCCCTGATCAACATCTGACTATGAGTCCGGTTGTACACCTGTAACCTGACACATGTTGGGCATGTCATAATTAGGCCTATGCCCTAATCATGATTTGAGCAATAACTTTACATCCCTGAGTGGCAAAGTGAGTGACTCACTCAGCAGCAGCAGTGTACCCAAAAGGCCTATGAGATGCTATTAAAAAGAGTAGGAAGGAACTGTATTCTCTTTGTATTGCCGACAGTGAATGTAGTCTGGTTTTACCTACAGCAGAGGTGGAAGCTTCACTGAATCGTCTAGAACAGCAAGTGCTGGACAGCACACTCACGAGGATAGCAGACAGCTAGCAAATTGCAATGCAACATCCTGTGAGGGTTGTTTAATTTTTTTTTAATCACAGTAGGTATTGTTTTATTGACAGACTTCAGTAAAATACTAAAAAAATCACAGTAGGTACTGTTTTATTGACAGACTTCAGTAAAATACTGATGTAATACTTATGACGTGATTATGGGTGACTAAGGCAATACCTTTAATAGTAACATTCGCTTTGAAGTCGCTGAGTTATAAAAAAAATCTGCAGACCAAATCCCCATCTAGACAGTTAGCAAGGACTGTTCTAAAGAATACTTCATCACACATACCATATGGATACATTCCAGGTCAGTCATGACACACTGAACCAGCAAAAAAATTAATTAATTAATGCTGCGGTGTTTACGAAGTGTGGCAGGATGTTTATCACCAATACTGCAATCTTGCTATCAATTTTTACAATTTAAGCTCACTGGACCATGGCAGGCATAACCAGACTTCGGTTCATGCTTTCAGTCCATATCACCAAGTAGTGCGTGACGCAGAGGGATTAAAGTCTCCAGAACAGATCACAGATCTCAAATCCCTGGAGGGTGATGAATGCCATGGTGCTGCTGACTCCAAATGCCATTTCAGGTTGCTCAAGGTTTAGAACATTAGTTGTAACAACAGAACGCTGTTGAATCTGATGTTTTTTTCTATAACATAGAATCACAGAATCACAGCATTGGAAGGGGCCAAGCAGGCCATCTAGTCCACCACCACCCCCGCTCAATGCGGGATCAGCCTAGAGCATCCCTGACAAGTGTTTGTCCAGCCGCTGCTTAAAGACTGCCAGCGAGGGGGAGCTCATCACCTCCCTAGGCAGCTGATTCCACTGCTGCACAACTCTTACTGTAAAAAGGGTTTTCCTAAGATCCAGCCGGTACCTTCCCACCCTTAATTTAAACCCAGTATTGCAAGTCCTATCTTCTGCTGCCAACAGGAACAGCTCCCTGCCTTCCTCTAAGTGCAAAAGGCAAAGGTTTCCCTTGCTCAAAAGCTAGTCAAATCTGACTCTAGGGGGTGGTGCTCATCTCCATGCCGAAGAGCCAGCGCTGTCCGAAGATGTTTCCGTGGTCATGTGGCCAGCACGACTAAACACCAATGCGCACAGAACGCTGTTACCTTCCCACCAAAGTGGTACCTATTTATCTTGCTTTCAAACTGCTAGGTTGGCAGGAGCTGGGGCAGCAAGGGGAGCTCACTCCATCACACAGCACAGAACTGGAGAGCTACAGACCTTCCAGTCTGCAGCTTCAGCATCTTAACCTCAGACAAGCCCTTCAAATACTTAAAGAGAGCAATCATGTCCCCCTTCAACTGCCTCTTCTCCAGACTAAACATTCCAAGTCCCTCAGCCTTTCCTCCTCTTTGATGTCAACTAGGTTGGAACTCTTCCAGAATAAGTAAACATGCAACCAGAACATAGGGTTGCCACCAGGCCTGGAGAAAACGACCTGTCTTTTTAACAGAGACTTAAGAGGATGTTATTTACCAAGTGAGGTTATTTACACCCATGGCATAAAAAGCTTCATTTATTCATTTCCACAAATTAAACTTATATTAAAGGGACAAGACATTTTTATCAACCAGAACTAAATAACACACTTTCCTCTCAAGGTCCCATATAAATGGAAGTGCCAAAAATAACTTCTCTGTTGTCCAATTTCCCATCAAGATACGATGAAGAGATGCCCTGACCTGGATAGCTAAGCAGGGCCAACCCTGGCAAGTATTTGGATGGGAGACCTCCAGAGAATACCAGGGCCAGAAGGCCAGAGGTAGGTTACCAAGCCACTTCTTTGAATGTCCTCCGTGCCCCAGTAGGAGGTCACCATGACTTCCAGGTATAGGCACACACACAAAAATGCAAAAATACCCCCCCCCCTCAAAAAAGAAAGATATGATGAAGAGAAGCTGTCTAATTGTTACCTAGTAACATACTTTGTAGTTCTACCAAATCAGGAACAGACACCATGGACCCTAACCAAGGAAGACCACTCCCATAATCTCCATTTAGGTATCATTTCTCATTTCACCCTCCCCCCCAATTGCAAGTTATAATATATCTCAACCTGTGTTATCTCACAATCATCCCTGTGAAGCAGGATATTCACCACATACATGACACATATCTGAATCCCATATTAATTAATCTGGAATAACTATCGCCCCTCATTGTAATGTAATTGTAACATAATCCATAACACAGATTACAATCTCCACATCATCCATAAATATGCATCAGAAGAGTGGAGAAACCCATCTTTTTCTAGGGCTGACTAACAGATGCTGTGGAATAACCGATTCACATGATATAACTTTAGATATGAATTCCTGGGTATGATGCAGGTGATACAGCATGACTGGTGACAGGAGCTCCTCCAGTTCTGATGAACTCTTTGAGTGTAGAAAATCCTACAGATTGAGTTGAACAGCTCTAATTTCCCCATTATATGTGTGCCACCTCAAAAAGAGAGAGAGATGCAAGGTTTAACCTCTACATGACAGTCCTATCCCCTGTACTCTAGTTCTGTTTTGGATGCCAGATGTGTAAGAGTATATTGTGATGAATGTTGAGAGAACTCTAGTATAGACCTGCACAGATGCTCATGCTTCACATATTCCAAGGCTGAACCAAAGCACTGAAAACCAAGGCTGGTAAACTGGCTGAAAGCAAGCCCTGCACCACATACATAGTATTGGTTTATATTGGCTGAGAATGACTTCTCACAAAGTACCGGAGACCTCTGTGGCCTCCACACCCAACTGTAACCAACACAGATTCAGGTAACCAACACAGTATACAGAGAAAGTCCTTCCCGTGTGCTTTAATGATGCCATATGGTTTTAAATTCTGAAGCTGTGTGAGCTGTCAACCACAGATCCGTTAAATGGCACTAAACAATTCAGTCACTCGCTTCCCAATTTTTGCAAGACGGCTGTTTTGTCTGTTGCCCACCCTTCCTCCAGTGAGCATCACCAGGCAGCATCCCATTTTAACCTCATAACAACCCTGCCAGGTAGGCTCGCCTTGTAATCAGCATTCGAACCCAGGTCTCCGTGCTCCCAGTCTCGCTATTACACCTGAGTAAGCCCCGCCACCTCCGCTGCGCTCCTTGTGAGCGTCGCCTCCTTACCAGGGACAGAACTTTGTAGGCATTCCGCTCCTTGTCTTTGCCTATGGGCGCCGCCGCTTTCTCGGGTTCATCCGCGAGCTCCATGGCCGGCAGCATGGGCACCGCGGCTGAATTCTGCAACTCTGCCCTTGCGCCAGCCCCATCGCCGCGGAGGTTTTTTTCTGGGCTATTACCCGCAGGCGGATTGCCTTTGGCTCGGCTGTCGCTAGCGCTGCCAATGCTCTCCATTGTCCCTGCGGCGTGTCTTGCCCTCCGCCTCCTGCCGCTTCTGTTAATAAGGGGCCTGCGAGCTGCCCTGGCTCCGCCTCCTTCCCCCGGCTTTGGCGGGCTTCCCTCGGGCTGCCCAAACTGGGGGAGTGAGGGAACCAAACGTCCCGGATTCCTCGGTTTCCTGTCTAGGTCCCCTAGATCTAGGTGGTTCCCCCTTTCCAATCTGCGTTTGTGTGACTCTTCTCATGAAATGAGGAGGAATCTCCGTTTGTCTTCTGAAGAAGCTTTATTGGGGGAGGAATCCTCTGAAGTAACTAAAAGTGTGATTTCTTGAGGGATGGAATCATCTGGCTCCAAAATAGACGTTGCACTGCAGGAAGGTGACCGGGTTTGTTTACACGCGAAAGTGAAGATACATTTTCCTCTCCGGTTTTTTTTTTCTTTGTGGAGGGAGAAATATAACTCTTTTGCCTTCTTATATACACAGATTTTCCCAGAGCTCAAGCACTCCCTTCAATTCTAGGCTAACGTAAAGCGAAGGAAATGTGACCAGTTGGGTAGCCGTGTTGGTCTGAAGCAGTAGAACAAAGTTTGAGTTCAGTGGCACCTTTAAGACCAACAAAGTTGTATTCAAGGTATGAGCTTTTGTGTGTACACACACGTCTTTATGTACACAAAAGCTCACACCTTGAATAAAACTTTGTTGGTGGTAAAGGTGCTACTGAAATACTTTGTTCAAAGGAAATGTAACAGTTAAACAGCTGAGTAGTCATCAAGAAAATATTTGTGAGAACTGAAACTTCAAAGCTACCTGTTACTAGTCTTTTCCCACAGAATTAACATTTTCATATTTTTACTACTCTGTGCATTTATTTGGGAGTAAGCCCTACTGAGGAAGCAAGCTTAATATGTTTAACACATGTACGTTCAATATACGTATCCAAATAAAAGTTACAAAAACAAGATTACCAAAGACCTCCCTCCCCCATTGAAAATACTGCCCTTTGCCTGACACTCTGTTACTTTCTTTGTGTGGTTTCAAACAGGAATTATGTTTGCTTTTTGTTTGTTCTTTATAGAGTCTGAATGTGCACTGTGAAAAGTTATCTTTTATTACACTCCCAACCACCACCAGCATCTCCCTTATATATAAAAGCCGAATGGTGGTGGTACTTCTCTAGAACATTCCACACGCTCCAGAATTGGTTGGCGCCTTGGTGTGCCACTCAGAATCTGTCCCTATCCACTGGCTGCATAGCTTGAGTCTCACCTCCAACATTCTAAACAGTTTGCTGTTCCCCCCCCCTAGCCAGTCAGAACACAGAGGTTATTTGCATATGTGGCCTGATTGGCCTTTGCCTTGGAACACAGAGGTCATTTGCATATGCGACCTGATTGGCTTTTGCCTCTAACATTCTAAACAGTTTGCTGTTCTGAGGTAAAATGTATCCAATCTCCAGGTGAGGGCTGGAGATCACTCAGAATCACAACTGCTTTCCAGATGGCAGAGATCAGTTCCCCTGGAGAAAATGGTGAGCTCTGTACCCTTATATGCTGCTGAGGTGGCCCCTGTATGACAGCCAATGTGATGTAGCAGTCAGGGCTTCAGAGCATGGGAGAGGCTGCAGGTGTGTGGGGGGTGGAAAGGTGAAGAGTGAGGGGGAAATAAAGGTAGGTTGATGATTGGCTGGGAAGGAGATAGGGTTGCCAACTCCAGGTGGGAAATTCCTGGAGATGTGAGGGATGGACCCTGGAGAGGGTGAGGTTTCAGGAGTCGTGGGACCTCAGACAGGTACAAAGCCATAGACTCCACCCTCCAAACCAACCATTCCCTTCTGGGGAACCATTGTTGCCAATCTCCAGGTGAGGGCTGGAGATCACTCAAAATTACAACTGTTCTTTAGGTAGCAGAGATCAGTTCCTCTGGAGAAAATGGTGGACTCAGTGTCATTACACCCTGCTGAGGTCGCCACAGCAAATTGACACTGAGTGTCCAAGGCTGGGGCACCCAACCAGAGGCTCTTTCCAGAGGCCGTTGTATTTATTTCCACAACGGGCCTTTTTCCTAGTCTACTATAAACTGCATTCCCCTTGCCTCTCCAGTTGTTCCCCCCCACCACAATTATCCTTGGCTCTCCTGTCCTCTTTATGGCCTCCCCACACACATATTCCCATATAAGAGCCAGTGTGGTACAGCAGTTAGAAAGCTGGACTAGAATCTGTGAGACCCAAGTTCAAATCACTCTCTGCCATGGAAGCCTGCTGGGTGACCTTGGGCCAGTCACACACACTCAGCCTAACCTATCTCACAGAGTTGTTGTGAGGATAAAATGGAATAAATGGAAAAATAAATTATACAAGGCTCCTCAGTGGGGAGAAAGGTGGGGTATAAACAAAATAAAAATAAGTGCTGTACATTTCTTAGGGTAGAAGAATGTCTTACTGTGTAAAGTACTGTGTAAAATGTTGTTGGTGTTGAATAAATGCATCCTGAAATTATTTCAGTTCAAAACATAAGTAAATATTCTCTTACGTTAAATCAAATAGGCACCAATCAGCAGCCCATATTTAGAAATGATATTCAGCAAACTGGCTTTGTGGGAGGAAGACTAAAATAAGCCGACGACTCCTGCATAAGATATTTTGTGCCAGCTTTTGTTAAAAGGACAGTAAAAAAAATACCTGTTGATATCATCACCAGCTGGCTACAAAATAGTTGATTGACTTTCACATATTCAACCTACTGTTACATTAAGAAATGGCATCCAAAGCTGCAGAAACTAAAGCATGTTGTTTTTATTGGGGCTTAAAAACGATTGGCTCTTTAAATATTGAGCCATGCATGCCAGTACTAAATTGCAGCTGATCATTATTTATGACCAGTGTTCCCTCTAAGCTGAGTTAGTGTGAGCTAGCTCAGTCTTTTAGCTTCCAGCTCACACATTTTTTTCTTAGCTCAGGAAGGATGGCTCCAGAGCAAACTAGTTTATGCAGTAGCCAACTTGCTCGCTCACAACTTTAATGTCAGTAGCTCACAAAGTAGAATTTTTGCTCACAAGACTCCACAGCTTAGAGGGAGCATTGTTTATGACACATTATTATGGTTGTTGTCGTCATTGTTATCATCATCATCATTTTGCCATTATGACTTATGACCACTCCCAGGGTTTTCAAGGCAAGAGATGTTCAAAGATGGTTTGCCATTGCCTGGTTCCGCGTAGAAACCCTGGTATTCCTTGGTGGGTCTCCCATCCAAAACTGAGATCTAACTAGCCTGATCTCTTAGCAAACATGATTCGGTTTGTAGTGCGGACAGGGGGGAGGATTGACATCATATTGCCATGGTCATAATATACCAAAATTTGTATAACATAAGAAGATAACAGAGCAGAAATTGTGCCCCAGTTAAAGATTCAGAATTGTGGTTGTCAAAGGAAAACTTCTCAGAGAGCAAAGTAGTCAGTTAACAGTCTGAGGAGAGGCGAGAGGCCCATGCAAAAACTTCAGTTAATTTGTGAATTGCAACATGTAATTTTTATGTCAAAAAGGTCCCTCAATGAAACATTTTCTTTTAACACAGATTGAATTCCTAGGAAGAGGTGCACGCAGGGGTCATTTGGGGGGGGGGACGCGGGGGGACGCCATCCCCCCCGGGTGAGGTGCGGGAGGGCGGGGCCTGGAGCTCCCTGCTGGTGCTCGCTGGAGGTCGCCGCCGGCTGTGGGGAGGACACACTTCCGGTGATGTCAGGGGGTGTGGCATATGCTAATGAGTTATGCTAATGAGTCCCCCTAGCTCTTTTTCTACGAAATGACCCCTGGGTGCACGTATCTATGTAAGCCGAAGAAACACATGGTTTCAAACACATGGATGCTATATAAGGAAGTGGCTCATTGCTAGGAGGGGAATATGGATCATTTGAAAAGGTATCTTCGTATCTCTGAAGTATGGCCTGAAGACATGCGACATAGCAGCCTTGCTGAAGCTAAACAAGTCATCTGTTCAGTGTCTAAATGAGAGACGCTTGAAAACCATAATCATGCTGCCAGATTCCATGAAGTCAAGATGGTGTTTCAATCAAAGGTGCAGTCCTAAGCATAGTTGCACCCTCCAGAATCAATTGAAGTCAATGGGCTTAGACTGGTGTGACCCTGTTTAGAACTCCCTGTAAATCAGCCAATTAATTTGTAAAGAATATCAGCCTTCTTCTTCTGGCAGTGTCAATTCTCTGGTCCTTGCTGCTTGTCTGTATCTTGCTCCTTGTCTATATCTATGCCTGTTTCCATGAAGATGAACCCGAACCTCTACCCCACTATGCTCATTCCACCTACAGTTCTGGCACTGCCATTCCTACACTCTTCACACACCATATCTGACTCATTTTTTCAGAGTGATGAATTCCTACCCAACATGATTTACCAGAGGAGGATGCTGCCACATCAAATCACACGGTTAATTGTGCATATTTTTGAAAGGCAATATACAAAATAAAAAGTTAACCTTTCCTTAGTTCATTGTTGTTGCTGTTCAGTCGCACAGTCGAGTCTGACTCTTCACGACCCCATGGACCACATCACGCAAGGCCCTTCTGTCTTCCATCATGCTCCAGAAGTTCATTAGGGATGGACAAAGTATTTAACCAAAAATGAATTGACTAAATGGAGACTAAAGCATGTCGTGTATAAGCCTGATGTTTATGTTGTTATTACCAAAATGATGCCCACTTCTCTGCTCCGTCTTTGCTTGCTCACTCCTCAGTCTCTTTCCCCCCATCAGACATGTTCTTCCTTCCTTCCCCCTTGCCAAACTACTTGTCTTGTTTTTTCCTGCTAATCCCATATCTACTGGCCACCTTGCATCTCCTATGGTTTCTCATCCCCTCATCCTGTCTCTCCTTTCCTTTCCCCCCAAACGTACCTCCCTTTTTGCCAGCTGTTTTCCTGCTTTCCCCACCCTTGCTCCCTTCGATTCTCTTTGCCCATCCCTCCTTTCGTGACCTTTGTTTTTTCCATTGCTACTT